GTAATTACACTTTAATAAGTGTAATTACACTTTAATAAGTGTAATTATACACTTTAATAAGTGTAGTATAATTACCATTTGGTTCTAAGCTCACCTTTAATGTTAGCGGTGTTGCTATATAGTGTCTATCGTAGTAACTTTGATGTTTAGTGGTAGCGTTAGATCGTTTTTCTGCCACAATGGCCTCCTCCCACAATGGGCTGTAGTTTCCATGCAGGCCCAGTGAGGATTGGGAATTTCACTCACACACAAACACATATACAGAATATTCCAAATCTTAAATCACCTGACGTTTATTATATTTACATTAATTATGCAAATTATAAGTCATAGTAAGCCCACGGTCGAATTCTGCTTCCTAAGATATAGGATTCCCTACAATCTTGTGATTGTATAACTTCGACTTATGAAAAATATTGTAACCAATTTATTAGTTCTGATTTTAAATAAATATGTTTATATTATTACTATTATATATATTTTAAACTCTCGCCTCTTTCAAGGCCTAAAAGATTAATTTAGAATTTTTAAATGGGATAGGCGATATTATTATTATTATTATTATTATTCACGCACATTATTAAATTGCTTTGCAGATTTGATTTGCTTTGACTTGAATTCCGAAAACTCAGAGGTGCAAGCCCGGATTCGAACCCACAAAGCTTTGCTTGAGAGGCGATAGGCTACCACAGCTTTTTCTACCAAATCACAGATGATTTGGTGTCGCTGTAGACATGAGGACATTCGAGAGAACGCTGTCTTCGGGTAAGCAAAGAAAAAAAAAACAAATTTCCGTAGAATTCATATTTTATTAGAACAACCAGCTTCTGTGTTGCCAGAGCTGTGAAAAGTCCAATGTACAGTTTCTGATAAGACGATAAGTTTTACGATAAGTTTCGCTAAGTTTCTTTATTAACTATAAATACCTACATAGATACGATTAAGTCTATATTTACATATCCTTATAATTATGATTCTAAAATCAAGGAATGTCTAAGTTTCTTATGAACTAACAATTAAGTACGTAATATATTTTTTGTTTTAATATGTGCGAAGAAGATGGGAAATAGTCATGGCTACAGTTACTTTTGGAAAACGGTAAATTGAATTGAATGATTATTGTTGTGTGTACATACAAGGTGTATAATACCAAATTTCAAGTTAACCGGAGTTTCTAACACTCGAATACATAGGGAACAACTACCATAGATTTATGGTGTCTATACGGTACGAATATAGGTCATTTAGATTTCAGCTTACGATTGTGCTCATACAAGCAACCTTAGAAAATAAATATCGTACAAAATATACTGGGATAATCCGATAGGTCAGTAGGCATTTTTCTCACAAATTTTGATATTCTTTTCAAATATGTTTTGTGTAGCTTATTTTTTGCAAAAGTACGGTAATACTAATTCTGTTAATGTCATGTAAACATGTTATGTACACAATCATAAGCTAAAACATGGTGACACATTTTTCTAACAATATGTATATTAGATTTTAAATAAAGCTCAATTTAGGTACATTGTTGCGGAATGGAAGCGAATTTTTGTAACCATAGCAAAATGCAGATCGCGGGTCTTGCTTGAGAATTTTTGCGCAGTCTATGGAATTCTCGCAGCTACCGTATGGTATCTGGTTCAACATAAAGTTCATTACTCTATGTATAATTTCGTTATAAAAATTCGGTTCCATTCTGTTCCGCGGCGATGTAAAATGAGTCTAAGGTTTAAACCTAAGTTAGCAGTATGTTTAAAAAAATTAAGTGACTTTTTTGTTTTTCCACTTAGTGCCGGCTTCACCTATGGTGCATGGTGTGTGGCGCCCTTGAGACTCCTCCAATGAACCGACATCGCCCTCGGCGCAAGCGAAGTACAGCAGCTATTGCAACATCATTTATAATTGCACCATTTACACCCATTTCCGATATTCCACTAAGGATAATATAACTGTAAGTATTCCATATTTGTCTCTATCTACCGACCTGAGAGATAGGGAGTTCCTGGGATACTACGCCGGTAAGACCAGGGTACGGCGGGCGTTTGGGTCAAAACCTCCGCCAATGATACGCCTTCACGGGCGTCTCTAATGGACATTGACTTGGGTATGAACTCGCTAGGGGTTGTGGTGAGCTGCAGAGATGGATATGTTCGTCTGCCCCTGTAGTGTGTAGCCGGGGCGTCAGTCTCGTGCGCAGTTAGCACGTCTTAGCAGCGGTCTAGGCGAGGGCCTAAGGCGAGGAAACGCGCGGGACTCGTGAGTTGCCCTTTAAGTTGGAAGCAATGTGCAGACATTGTCACAGGACACGGCGACCAACACCTCCGGTACTAGCCCAGAGAGCTAATAAAGGATGAGTTATATATTCTCCGGTCCCTACAGCTGCGTAGGTTTTAAAGAACTGGAAGTGAGCGTGCCTACAGCTCCACCACCAAAGTGGAGATTTGTACCGGTACCTATCCGGACACTGTTGTCTCTTGAGGGTGTTGTACATCCACCCATGTTGTGCAGCTCACCCAAGGCACTAGCCTTTTGAGAACCGGATGAAGTCTGTACAAACGGGCTGATCTGATCTGATATGGTCCTTGTGCAAGTTTACTTGTACAGGTTTTAGTGCTCTTCTCATATATCCTCAGGGTCGGTAGAAAAGGTCACTACAAACAAAACTTATGTAGAAATATACGGGAGTGTGAAAGCATTCCATTATGATCGCGTACCTACTAGAGGGCGCTAGGCGTATTGATTGCACCCGGGTACATGATCTAGCGCCCACTTTTTGATTAATTATACCACGACTTGTCAGTGATGCCACTAAGATACCAGATGTTGTATTTTCAAATCGAGAGTGAATAGGCATTATCTAGGTGTGCATGCTCCATCGTCGACCTCATCGTCACTTTCCGTCAGGTGAGATGGAGGTCAAATGCACAATTACTTTTGAATAAACAAAAACGGCAGAGACGAAATAAGAGTAATTTTCAATAGTGCATATAGTTGCACCATCAACACGATACCTCGAATGAACACTACGTGAACTTAATTTTTGGAGCTGGAATGAATGAATTTTTTGATGTTTTTTTCACAAAGTTCGTTTTTTTTGTTTTTTTTTATCGAATTTGGTTTTGGTTCTTTATTTTTTTGATAAAATTCGGGGAGCATAATATTAGTAAATAAATATGACTGTTTACAAAAATATAAATAACAGAAATGACCAAAAAATTAAGTTGGCGTAGTGCTTATGGGAGATATCGAATAATACATGATGTACCTATGGAAATTCAACGCTAAAAATCGAGTAGCTGATTTTGAGACTTCTGAAAATTCGTGAAATAATTTTTGTTTTTTCCAAAGGTGGGTTCTGTATTCAAAATGCATGCAAAGATAAAATATTGAAAAGCATACGAATGTCTACTACGAACCCCTAAAGTTCTGGCGCTCTAACTTCAGAGACCATGTATCAAGGATTTTTTTAAAAACACCTTTTTTATTTTCAAACTACGATTATAAATCACTAACTTAGGTTTTCTTATCATCTTTTATCTGTGTAATTTAAGACATAAAGTGTTATATTATTTCTATATCATTCGAGATCTGAGAAACATTATTACAGAATAAGTTTTTGTACAGAAATTTTTAGCACATTTTTTAAAAATAAATATTTACAAACTGTTTTAGATTATACGGCTTAGCACTAGACCAATACCGCCTTGTCTGAAAATACACTGTAATCCACACAAATTTAAGTTTGTTTTTCAATATTCTATTCTGAGGCGAGGCGGTAAAGGTGCTGATGCGTTGAATGGAAGTTTACCCTTATATGAACATTGGTAAACAGAATTAATGTAGCTGCGCAAAGTGTACGAATCTATATACTTTCTATATACTTTTATTTATTTACATAATCTTAATATATGTAATTGTAAGTACATAATACTGTATTGGAAAATATTAATAGGTGTCTTAAGGCTGACTGTGCACTGCCCTCGCTTCCAAATCAGCAACAGTTGTCGTAGCTTTAATAAATAATTAGTACTTGTGTCATGAGACCAAGGATCAGTGCACCAGCTGCCTTATTTTAAGTTGTTTATAACTATACAATAGTCCACGTTCCTAATATAAACTGTAATATCGAGGATAGTGATATCAAAATTGAAAACACTTTGTTTTTATATGCATTTGGAGAAATATTATTTTTGTATAGAAACCGGAATAGATAATTACATAGAAGCATGTATACAAGTGAAGAAGTATATCAATTGACCTTTTCTAGAACCGTCTGGAACTCAACAAATAGGCGAAGCAACTGGCGGGGGGTGGGAAGGCGGAGCTGTGTTCGGCGGCGCGTTCATAAACGACCCTTGATTACCCGCCCATGGTTGCAAATTCTGCAACGCGCTCAATGCTGTGTTCGAAGGAGGACCTTGAGCGTTGTTAGGTGGGCTTTGATAGTGTAGTGCTGACAAAGACGTGGTGCCGGGTGGCTCTGGGATATATCCTTTGCTCAGAGCTTCTGCTTGTAATGATAGCATAAGCCGATTCGCCGCTTGTCGTTCGGCCTCCCTTTCTTCTGCTGTTTGACGTCTGAAGCAATAGAGAAAAAGTTTTATAAATATTAATATTTTTATTATTTTATTATTAGTAGAGCTTCTTTTTAACCGACTTCAAAAAAGGAGGGGGTTCTCAATTTGACTGTATGTGTCTTTTTTCGTATGTATGTTACGATAACTGATGATTCTTCGGATTCGGTACCTCAGTAGTGATCCCATTTAAATTTGAAGAAAATATTCCACCTCTAAGGGTGGCAAACTAGGGGATGAATGACTTTTGAAGTCGGTTTTTTTAGTACTCTGTACTGAGATTATGAAAGAACCCGTTCAAGGAAGTACTGCCGCCATACTTCATTCTACCGCTACGCGGTAAATATGTTCCGATTTTCTGCAAGAGAGAGAATCTGGATGCTGGTGAAACTAAAGACACATAAGAATTATTAATAGGTGTTACTTTAACCATCATCAATCCCTGAGGATGCCTCGGAGAGAGGTGAAACACGTGTCGTGGATATTTTTGGTAATGGTATTTGTGACTGTAGTTACGCTTGTGATATTTGTATTTTATTAAGTGCATGAAAAAAAAAGCTCGGCACAAGCGCACCTATTTTGCACGACTTAACATTAACATAGTTCGCGGAATTGTAAATGAATTTACTTCCATTTTTATTCACATAAGAAGGGAAGTAAACATTTATGTCACCTTTATGTCTAGCACACATTTTCTACTAAGCGACTAGTCGCGAGCGGTTAGCGCGCGCGACTCATTTATTCAAATAAGTCATTAGTACCATTTTCAACTAAGCGACTAGACGCAACTACTTAGTCTGTTTTACTTCAGAGTTGCGGCTTTGTCAATGAGTATGATATAATAAATAATAACTTATTTCAGTAAATAAGTGTGGCGCATGGTCAGCCGCCCGCGACTAGCCGCTTAGTGGAAAATGCTTGTTATACCATACCCCTTAGAATAATAACGCATAGAAACCTAGCACGCACTAGCTAAGTGAGGCAAATTGTAGGGCACCCTATGGGCCTACACGAGCGGGTGGGCTGACAGTGCTCAAGGTCAAGTTGCACCGCGAACAGCTCAAAAATTTTAGCTAAAAATGACGCAATGAAAGAGTCAACATCACATTCGCGTTTAAACTTTTATTTTTATGTAAATATTCACTACCACAGAAAATTAATTTCATTGTAACAAGATACGAGTACGAAAATTTTGCTATTCTGTTTCAAAATAATTTATATTACGTAGTTTTTGAGAATATGCAATATTTCTACAAATGTACACCGCCGCGACATTGTAGGGAATTTACGTTAGCTATTTTTACGGAATATATTTAGTATTTGCCTTCATTACTTTCATGTGAAAATCATTATTCTTGTTCATTACATACAGGACTCATTTAAAAAAATTGTCTTGCCCAGAATCAAAACTTCTTAACTAAACTAACTTTAGGGAACTAAACTGACTAAAAAAGTCGTCGTCAGTTCTCCAAAGTCGTGTATAAATAATTTTCAGGTTCACGTTCTTTATTGTTATCATGTACTTTTCGTGTGTTTATCCACAGATTATATCAGGCAGTTTATATATCCAAATTTTCATGAACTAAAGTCAAATTCGACAGTCGCACATAAACTCGCGTTTAGGTTTTTGTTCATATATGAATTAAATAAAAATTGGGTAGTATTTATTAACTTAAGGGTAAGTTAAGCTACAATTAAGATACAATTTCCCCACTTTTGAGGGAAATGTTATTCCATGGCATCATTATTTGCATATTTGTGTGCGTGCCGACGAGCGTAAATACAAGTTGCTTACGCCTACAATAAAGAATTTGATTTTTGCCTCATTTGTGAAACTATCATTCTACGCGTTATTATTCTAAGCCAAACCCATTGACGCGGCTGCGACTATGAAGTAAATGCCATTTTCCACTAGGCGACTAGTCGCGGGAGGCTCTTTGCGATTCAAATCTTTACGATTTAAGAATGGCACTGCAACTGTAGCAGACATCGCTTACCACTAAACGCACGACTTCTTCTTCCCTTTTAATAATAAATTTAACAGTAACCTTTTTGAAGCCCTATATTGATTATTTATAATATGATATCAAGCGACGGCATGAACAAGGCGTGGGCCTGGTGGTAAGTGACACGTCTATCCATAATAGCTGCAGTGCCACTCAGAGCTTTAAATCGTAAAGATCTGATGGGCAGTGCCACTGCGCCCGTCACCCTGAGACATAAGTTGACAAGTTCCATATGCCTGTAATTTCCCCAGCTCCCTTACATTTCCAAACCGGAACGCAGTAATGCTGACATTACTGCTTAGCGGCAGAAATAGTTAAGGTGGCAATACCTCCGTGGACGAACTCTTTCGAACAGATTCAAGTAGCAGTAGAGCTAAAAGCAAATGGAAATTCAAATGAATCCCCGTGTCTCCGATTTATTGTCGTCAACTTTTTTAACTGGTCCAGGACTATTCTGGGACATTGTTGTTTACACACAATATAACAGCCAACGTAATCGAAAACAAACACAATACTAAATAACTGAACAGTTATATTTGTAAAATGTCATAACCCAAAATGTATCATTTAAAAGCAATTAAGTGAGTCTGTTTAACGGTGCATAATGTAGAGGTGGTGAATTGATCGGTTAATATTTAACTGGGCTCCATTTGCAGTTGGACAATGCAGTGGTTTACACGTATGCCGTCTTTAATTGGTTGCTGAATTTTTTATGTTTTGGTTTTTGTTGTTTATTGAAATATTTATTTTAATGGAAGTCATGTTTTTTATATAAATATTTTATTATGATAATACTCTCTCAGTTGGTTTTTATTACCAAAAACAAAGTCAAATAATCATTTATTCCATAGGTAACATTTTTACACTTGAAAACGTCATTTTTTAAGCTACTGCCCGTTCACTACGCTGACCTCCCTGAGAAGAACGAGCATGAAACTCTAGGGATTGCTCTTTTCAAATGAACTTAAATGCTATGGAATAAATTTTGAATCATAATTGTGTGGAATCTAGATTCATTTGTCTTTCCGTACACCTTTACCTAACTAAATACTCTTCAATTTTGTAATGTTTTTTTCAATTAAAATACTTTTAATAAGATTTAAACTTAGGAAATAATAGTCTTAATATATGCTCCGGAATCGCATTATGAAAATCTTCTTAAACTTTTCTCTGAGAGAAACCCGAGAACCTAAACGGTACACAGAACGAATCGCTCATTTAGTATATCTGCCGCTTCACCCCACATGAGAATCCAATAGGACATTAGACATTGGAAGTAACTAAAGTAAACTAGTCTAGCAGTAGCGACATCGGTTAGCTCACGTATTCTACAAAAGATCAAAAACTCGCAAAGAAAAATCTTCAATCCGGCTGGACTCAAACCAGCGACTTCGCTAAAATGGAGCTATCGCCGTCCCAACTGAGCTATGGAACGAACCAGCAGTTCTTATGAATTTCTTTATGTGCTTGTTGTAGATCTTGTACTTGGTTTAAATGGCTTTTCTGCCATTGTGCCATCTATAAAACCTACGACAATTAAAGAATTTATGTTGTTAATTTTACTAGCGCAGAGGTCCTTGTGAAAGAGTTCGTCTAGGGAAGTACTGTCACCTTACTTATTTTCTGCGTTCCGGTTCTGAAGGGTATGAGTGCAGGTGAAATTACAGGCACATGAACTTGTCAACTTATGTCTCAGGGTGACGGGCACCTTGACACCCAGTTCTCCTCGACTTGAAGCTCTGAGTGGCACTGCAACTGTTACAAACAGTCGTGTCGCTTTCCACCAAACGCACGACTTGCTCGTCCCATCACTTGGTATTAAACTTGCAAACGAATATTTTCTAATATAGATTTTCTGTTAACCTCAAATAAGCTTCTATAAACAACAGTCCATCCAATAATGGATTGACAAGTTCTAACCGTCTAACTGAGCATTCAGAAACAATTAAATATACATGAACTTTAACTAGCGCGTTTGCGTTAGTTAAGCCGAATGTCTGTCGCTTAATAACGACGGGTTAATTAGCTAGGTTAGCTAGTTAGTTGTCCACAGTTTGCTGATTTACGTAACTACGCCTATCTCTATAAAGTAAAAGTACAAAAAAAAGTAAAATGTGCTAATCAGTATAATTATGACAGAATAAGTGTATTGTTGTAAAATCTTCTTGTTTTTAAATATTCGAGTATAGGTTAGTATCGTTATATTTAAATACTTAATAATAACAATTGCCACGGAAATCAGACAGAGAACACTGACATGAGAATGTTAGAGTGCGTACAGATCTGGCAACTGCGCTGCAAATGCGCTTGTTTGCGAAAGGCTCGCGAGCAGCACATAAACGTTGTGAGATCTGTATATTAACATGTATTTAATTGCACGCATGCAGCACACGTGCAGTATAAGCAGCGCGAGCGCAGCGCACATCCATCGCGTTCGCGGCGTATTCGCCAGATCTATACGCACCCGTATCATTTACATGACTTAAATCAAGAACATAATTCTGATACATCTAGAGAATATTGAAGACTTAATTAAAAACATAAAAAAATAGTTTACTTCACATGCAATACTATACAAGAAATAGAAAATGCAAATTAATAATAAAACACACTCGTCACATGGGTCTCAGACAGCCACAGAGGGTATGAAGTACAAGTACCCTGTCTGATATTCTGTCATAGCCCTTAATGAATAAGATAATACACTAAAACAGTATTTATTATTCGGTCATTCTCGGACTAGAGTTCACTAGCCAATTTTTTTCCATTTTACATTATTTAAATATTCAAGTATATTATCGAGAAAATATTAATAATATTCACGATACAATACTCGAATATTAAATAATATTACAGGATTAAAATAATCAAATACTTAACTAATAAAAATTGCCACGGAAATCAGGTAGAGAACACTAGTCCGAGAATGCGGTCAGAAAAACACTAATGTAAAGTTACAAAACGGGGCGAAGTAGGCATAACTACACCAGGTAGGTAA